CCTCTGCTGACAAGGAACGTATGAATCATTGGAATCTGCTTCCGTTCTCATGCTGCCTCTCAAAATGCAGATAAATAATGCAGTGCCTCTTATATGTATGTGCTACTATACCAGCTAAGTGTAGTTGAATCTACAGGAAGATTAGAGCTTGTTTTAAACCAAGTGTTAACAAGCAAAGTAACTGAAGTCAGTAGCCCTGCAGAATATTTGGAATTAGGATTTATTTTTTCTTTTGATTCAGGACTTAGGCCATGGATTTTTATCCTAACAGAATTCCTTTGCAACAGGGGCAGATTCTACCCTCCATTACACCAAGGACCTTCAAAATAAATCTTGATATTGACAAAATGAAGCAAAATCTTCAAGAGTATAAAACAAGGGCAGAGTTTGAGGGGGGGGGGGGGTATTTTTAAAACTCGCCTTTCAGTAGAAGAGAATGAAATTGTGCAGGTGTCCTGCCTTTTGTTTTTCAGAAAACAATGTCAGAAAGATTGACTTGGCAACGAAGATGTAACAGCACAGCCTGGACACTGGACTTCCAGACTAAACTCAGCCTTGTGTCACTTAATAGAGAGATCCCTGGACCAGAAGATCGATGTACAAACAGGACAGATGGGGACTGACAATTGAAAGAATGTAGAGGCTGATCCAAGGCTTACAGAGACCTGTCATTCCTGGGGTTTGCCTACAATCTCCTTCAACAAAAGAGCTCCTGAGGGAAGGAGGGGATTAGTCAAAAGTTGAGTGAAGTCTCCAGGGAAGATGGTTTCTTGGATAAAGTTGTCAACAAAAGGAATTGTTTAAGACTATTTGTTATAATTTCCTAGAGGGAGCTTCTGCCATTACTAACAGGATTACCAGCATACTGGTTCCACACCAGCAGAGCATTAGACATGTGCATTGCAGACCGGTTGCTTAGAGCTGAATTCAGGGGTCTTCTTATACTGGGTCCCAAATGTGTGCAGGTGTTGATGAGCAGAGGGGAGATGGCAAAGAATTAAGATGCAGCCAATCACGGGCCATTTTTGGTCCAGTTGTTGCAGAGAGTCCTGGCTGATTAATGAGTTACTAGGGTGTTTTAATCTCCTTGATCTCGAGGCTGCTGACAGACCATGAGAAGGAAAGCTAATCTGAGGTGAGTGCTGATCAGGATACATGGGGAAATCAGAAGGCTCTTTCCCAACTACAGTTACTGTGAAATTTCTCATTGACTTCTTTCTGGAGAAATCAGGAAAGCAAGTAACTTACTGTGTTCATGTCCTAGTTTGCTTGGTTTCAGCTATCTGGGATACTTTTTCTAATCTCTGGGACTTCAGAAACCAGAAGCCTCGGTGTAACCTCACAGCAGATCTGGGAAGAAAAGGAAGGCAAAGATAAATCATTAAGGTGCAGGCATGCAAACCTTCTTGAATACTTCTTATTCATCTGAGTAGTGTCACTGGCATGACTGGGAGAACTTCTCTGAGCAAGAATTATGCAGGGCATTGAGGCATTGGAACAAAACCAGTCATGGAACTATGGGGAAACACCAGAGAAATGGGTGGCAGCCATAGAAAGAGGTGGAAGGGGACATTTCAGTGTAAGGGAGCTACATCTCCAGCCCCACCCCAGTCCATTGTTTGCTAAACAAACACTGCAGATTCGGGCAGGAAGCAGCACAACTGTTGATGTCCCCTTTTGTCCTTGCTATAGACATAATTGCAGGAATGTATAGATTAGCTATGTAAAGGAGCGCACAGATTATCTGCAGGCCCTGCTCAGTTAAGAGGACAAGAGTTATTCCTTATGTTAGGTGACAGTCCTTAAAGTTCTCTGCCTTGATGAAAAGGCAAGCTATGTCCCAAAAGTCCTTCCAGCTCAAGACTGTGTGGACCCAGATCTCCCAAACACCAGCCACTCAAAGTGAGTGTGAATGCCTGACCTCCCTTTGCAATATTGAACAGAAATTTGTCTCAATATTAGGACCTTCTGCCTTTCATTTGCTCTGCAATCAATCTGGAATAATATTACAGTGACCTCACAGCAGTATAAGCAATATCAGACTAGAGTATCCTATAGAGTTCTACTTAGGCACATATCTCTGTGTCAGCTTCCCATGTGCAGGTTTATTTGTGGAGGGGAGGGCATTTGGAACCTTTTTAGAGGAAAACCAATGGTTCTTAGGTATGCTGGCACTGGCTGTTGCATTTCAAAAAGAACTGGTGCAAATAAGAAGCTTTTCTAAAGTGGCTGGCTGCATAGCTCTCCACTTCTGAGTTACCTGGCATTGTCATATCCATGGTTTGGAGCAGCTGTAAATGATGCCCAAGTTAGGATAGGGGGGTTCTGCATTCCTTTTGCACTCTTGGAGATGGCTGGATGGACTAAGAGCAGTGAAGAAGCAAGATGTCTAATGCCTGCGGTTGGATGGTTATGGCTGGATGTCTGCTCCTAATTGGGAATCACCAAATGCTAAAGATATGTTAAATGAAAGGATGTGTTATGCATGGGTAGTGAGGGATCTAATGAGGGGAGCTGAATCACTTTCCTCATGGTGTCTATCCAGAACATCACTTGTAAATTTCTTCTGCCCTGGAGCAGCAGAGAGAATGGCTTTGCTCTTTTACATAGCTGCTACCCCATAATGGCCAAAGCTCTTATGCTAAATTGCCAAAGGGCTGAATGATACCTTCTAGCTCTGTATCTGGAAGGGTGGAAAGCCAGGAAGACCCTGGCAAAAGGATGTGCTGCAACCCAACACTCTTCTGTTCATTAGCTCAACAATGAAGGCCCAATGCTTTAGGTATGCCAGATCAGAGAGAGAAATCACCCCAGAATCACTCCACTCCCAAATTAATGGGAGTACTATTTACATCAGGAGTATTGATCTCAGTAGATTTTCCATCCCCTGGCCTGCAAAATCTCAGGGACAACAGCGCTCAGGGAAAATGAGTCAGTAACAAGAAACACATCTGAATTTATGTACCAAGTTAGTGCTACCCAAAAAGGCAGTCCTGCTTCCCCATTTCCCTCCTTGCTTCAGGCTTCATGGCCTTTCTCTCTTTTGCTCTCTGGCACTTTTCTAAGCCCTTGATGGGCTGATTTAACTCACTAA